ATGGTACCAGAAAAGATGTTGGCAATTTGAGACCTGGTGGGATATTGTCAAAATTGAGAGTGAAGTCCTTTCTAGGCCGGCAGTGTAGGGGCACAAAGGGTAGAAGAAATACTAACTCAGCTTAGTGGTGGACAAGAGGTGCGATCGACATAGAGGGAAGGCAGCAATGCGAGACGATTGGAGCTGGCAATGCAGTGATTTTGACAGCATAAACTACTTCAACAAGAGCTTTAACATGATGATATTGCTATGTTATTGTTACATATTATGTTATATTAAACGTATATATTATGTAGCTTCTCAGTAAACTTACTCATGGCTTGTAAGAGCACCATACTTTCATAACCTTTCGCACTATTCTCAATTCTGAACTTACCTTTTGAATATGTCTGCTGTAGCATTTTCTGTGAAGAATAACATTCGACCTCAAACACAAACAAACAGTTAAATAAACGCTGTTATATTTTATAAATTATTCTAGTCTGAAACTTTACAACAAAGAATCAACGAGTTTCTTTCAGATTCGGTCGCTTTGATTATGAGTCCGGTTATTTAGTAATTCTGATGTTTTTCCTGTACGGATATTGACCAGGGTAGATGTATCCGTCATAGCTGCATGGAAGATATTCGTTGAACCTTGCTTCCAAGTTTATGGTTCCCATATCGAAGGTTCTGCAGTTTTTGTTCCCTAAACAGACATAGAAATGCGGAAGCGTGGCCACTAAGGGTAGTGAGTTTCCCTGAAAAAAATTTAGCTTGCGCATTTTTCGGTGAGAAAACGCAGCACTTACCTCACATTGGAAGCGTGCCTCCAGAATTGGATTCACCGTTTGTAAAGAACTGCACTGCGATTCTATGGAAAAGCGCCCTTGGTTGTTCGTGCTAGTCTCTGCCGAGCAGCACTCCCAGCTGCAACCTGAAATAACAGCGGCAAATGCAACGGGAAATCGACTTTTCGACGGGCGTTTGTTTCAGCAGCGGCTGAGATCACAACATCATCTTCAAAATGTACGGGTCGAGCAGAACCTCCGAGAGTTCATTCCTTTTTCAAATGGTAGAAACCGTCATAAAGACAGTCAGAAATTGCACAGTATCCAGCGATATTGAATGAATGGACTACAAAGGAAGACTGGGAACCGTAGATTTCATTGATTCCAAACGATGAAGACGTGCCACAATTATAGTCAGAAATTCATGCTGATTCAAAGAAAAAGCATTGTGTTGCTTGTGACACGAAAAAAATTTTACCTTAAAAAATAAGCTGACGTTCTGGAGAACAGTCGTTTTGAACATTATCCGGGAATGCACGTATTTTCATAATGCGTTTATCTTCTGGTAAGGAATTAAAACTCACTCTCAAGAATGCTAGATTGGCACTGGATGGCCAATACTCTCAACCAACTAATTTAAAAAAAATATTCGTACTGATTCAATGCCAATTTTTAAAATATGAATTCTTTCAATACGATGGTTAGAGGTGCAGAGATGAAACATCGACAAAAAATCTTCATTGTAAGAGGATATTTTTTACCGCTACAATTACCATCATCAGGGCGTAACACATACATGATAACTTCGTAAACTTGACCGAAGTTTCACGGGGACATGTCATCCTCTGAACGAATGAGTGCGTGGGCTGAAGTTGGGGGGGG